ATAACATTTTGAACATCTGAGAATTTTACTGAAGATAATAAATATTTAAGAATGCAACAGAAGAATGGAGGGGTTTTTGGGTAATTTGCTTAGTAATGGGATACTTGCCATTTTTAGGCAAAGAAAAGACTGGCTCAACCCTGACCTTCCAATGGAAAAAAGCAGAGAAGGTTGGGAATGTAGCTCAGAGGGGAGTGCTTGTCTAACATACGTAAGGCCCTGGATTCAACCCCTACAATCACTATTCCTTCAGTTCACCTGTGTGTTTAGATTATGGATCTCCATGATTAGTAGAAAAATATGATCATAATAGCTACTTAAGAGACAAGCCAGCCAAGTAATGTCAAGCATTGGGCACATGCCTGTAACCCCACATTCAAATGCTCAGGAGGAGGGTCAACATGAATTCACAGTGAGCCTAGACCTATGTAGTGAGTACTTACCTGTCTTAAAAAACAAAAACAGAAAGAAGTGGTTTGGGAATCTCAGGTAAATGTGTGAATGAATATAAACTACCGTACAACCAGTTTCTTAAAACTAAAAGAATCCCAGGAAGAAAAGCAGAAACTGGGAGTATTCAGGCAAGTTAGGGACAAGGCAGCAGTCTCATTATGCTGTTCTTCCCTAAAGCCCCTTTAAAATTAATGAGAACTATGGTAATAATTAGGTACTCCTGGGAAGGAAACAAATCCCTTCATGTCACAAAAAATTAATTTTCCCCCTGGGCAGAAAAAAGGTAACATCTGCTTGGTTGCCTCTGGTACACAAACTGACAACACAATTGATCCCACCCAACAATCACTCTTTCGTTCCTCTCCTGTTGTTACTGCTCATGTAGCCCATTAACCACCTCTATACACCTTCCAGTTCATTCCCTTCTCTGCTCAGCCTGTGCTTTACCCCAGAGGACTAATCAAAAACCACATCCCAAAACCACTGATTCCCAGTCCCAACCTCAGATTTGCTGAAACAGATTTTAGTAGCCTCCATCTTAGATCAATAAGCAGTATCTAAAGGCTCCACAGTCTGTAAGACTCACCAAGTACTAAAATTCCCTTTTCTGACATAAAAACTGAAGCTTAGGCTAGGTATGGTAATACACACATTAATTCCAACACTGGAAAGGCAGAAGAGGCAGATCTCTCTGAGTTCAAGCTAACCAGGAATACACAGTGAGGGACTCTGTCTCAAAAAAATAAAAAGGAAAGATTTTTCCCAATACTTAACAGGCAAAATATGGAGTTCCAGGGCAGCCAGGTCACACTGTCTTAAAAACAAATAGACAGACAGACAGGAAGGCAGGCAGAAAGAAGAGTGACCACTGAGAGACGGCTTAGTGGTAAAAGCACTTGCTGCTCTCGAAGGCGGCCCAGGATTAGCTCTCAGCACCCACAGGGTGGCTCACAGCCACCCATAATTCTGATCAAAGGGACCTGAAGGCACTAGGCACATATGTGGTGCACATATTTGCATTCAGGCAAAACACTAAAAGTAAAAATAATCTCATGTTTTTTTCAAGAATAAAAAAGCAGCACATGTTTTGGCTGGGTATTATGGCACACACCTGGAATCCCAGCACTCGGGGGGCTAAAGTAGGAGGATCTCCAGCGCAAGTCCAGCCAACAGACTACAGACTACAGACTACAGAGACCCTTGTTTCCAAAAAAACAAAATAGGGCCAGCAAGAGTGCAGAAGGTAAAGGTACTTGCCACCAAGTATGATAACCTGAGTTTGATCCCTGGGAACCGCCAATTCCCACATGGTGTCCTTTGACCTCCACAACTCTCCTTCTCCTCCCTCCCTCTCAGTTTTTTAAATTTAAACAAGCAAAACAACCAATTAAAAAAATCTCTTTCAAGGGCTGGAGAATTCCCAGCACCCACATGGTGGCTACAATGAGATCTGATGTCCTCTTCTAGCATAAAGGCATGTGTGTAGATAGTGCATTCGCATACATAAGATAAATAAATCTTTTAAAAAAAAAATCTCTTTCTTGGGCAGCAAGATGGCTCATCTGGTATAAGTGCAAGTTTAACTACCTGAGCTTGACCACTAGAACTCACAGTGGAAGAAGAATCAATGCACACACATAATTTTTAATAAAAAAAAAGAAAATCTCTTGTGCACCTTTAATCACATCACTCAGGAGGTGGAGGCAAGAGGATCTCTGTGAGTTTGAGACCAGCCTGGTCTACAGAGTGAGTTCCAGGACAGAATTCAAAGCTACACAGAGAAAACCTGTCTCAAAAATAAAAAGAGAGAGAGAGAGAGAGAGAGAGAGAGAGAAATCTCTATTTCTATATATATTGTCAAGCACTGATAATATGGGGATTGGAGAGAGGGCTTAGTGGTTAAGAATGCTGGCTGCTCTTCCAGAAGACAAGGGCTCAATTGCCTGCAACACATGACAGCTCACAATTGTCTGTAACTCCAGTTACAGAGGATCTGACACCCTCACACAGACATACATGTAGGCAAAAATCAACACATGTAAAATAAAAATGAGAAATTATTCAGATTACAACAAAAACTTTAAAACTTTTATCCTGTTTTTGCCATTTTTTTTCCATTTTCTTTTCTTTTACTTGAGCTCTCAAGTAGCTCAGACTGGCCTCAAACCCACTACATAGCCAAGGAGAACCTTGAACTCCAAATACTGGATTACAGCACCACATCTTGTACCAGCCTCAAAATTGCCACTGGTTGCTCCCCAACCCTCCAAAACAGGAATACATTTAAGTAACTTTTTACTTAACTATGGACAGTATGATACAAAGAGAAACATTTGGGGGTTTTATTTCTCTAAGAAGTGAAAAGCTGAATTACGAATTTTACTCTGAATTATATAACTCCAGTTTCTAAAAGATTTACTTCTGGAAGGGTGTTATTCCAGTTTTTGGTGCAATTCCTAAGAAAAGCCCATTTGTCCTGTAAAGAGTCAGCTGTTGCCAGGCAGTGGTGGCGCAGGTCTAAAATCCCAGCACTCGGGAGGCAGAGGCAGATGGATCTCTGAGTTTCAAGTCAGCCTGGTATACAAGAGCGAGTTCCAGGACAGGCACCAAAGGTACACAGAAAATCCCTGTCTTGAAAAACAAAACGAGTCAGCTGTTTTTAAAAATAAAGGTAGGCCATGAGCGTGCAAGTTTCAACAGATTTATGTTAAAGTTAAAGGAAATTAACATTTGACCTTTGGTAGCTCAACAACCTTGTCGCCCCTAGAGTACTAATAGTTCTGACTCAGCAGCTCAATGGACTGCCCTGAGCAAAGAAAAAAGCAGAACTCAAGCCTCAGTCTGGAGGAATCACAGGATTTCCTGTACACGTCCTCAGCACTATCAGGTCGCTCACAAGCAGGCTACTTTCCACACAGATTCTCACACTCTAATCAGGTCTGGCTGCCGCACTGTATTAGCCAATGTTTAACCATTTTATCACATGAAGTGGTAACTGTGTTACTGAACTGAGCGAGCCTAGCAAACAAGACTACATCTCATGACCTTTCTGGGGGAAGCAATTCTGAATAAACACTTTTCACTCCTCAAGGAAACTAAAAGCATTAATAAATGTCATAATCAAAACATACAGTTAGCTTCCAGCATGATGGCCCACGTCTTTAATCCCAGCACTGTGAAGGCGGAGGCAGGTGGATCTCTGTGAGTTGAAGTCTGTCTACACAGCCATTCGAGGACAGTCAGGGCTAGATAATTTTAAGAGAGACCCTGTCCCAAAGGGAGGAAAAGGATGGTTTTAGGCTAGGGCACTCAGGAGACTGAGGCAGAAGGATCTCAAATTCAGGCAGCACGGACATAGCAAGAATCCCTTTCTCAAAATACAAAACATTGTATTTTGTTCAGTGGTAAAAATATGTGTTCGTCATGTTCAACCTCCACCACCAAAAATATCTAATTATTATACATTATATATGATAACATTTATAATAATTATTATAAACAGCACCGCAGCAGAAAGAGAAAAGCACAAAACCAGTAACAGGCTTATTTCCTTCTACATGACTGGCCTGAAGGCCAGTATAACCACTTAAACAACACAACCATTTCTAATCTCCAGTCCAGTTCTGAAAGAGCACAGGCCGTCCAGGCAGGGCACTGGATTTAAACTCATCTGTGCCATCACCTTGCCTGGGGTAGATCGCTCGAGTTACTTCACGAATCTCTAAAACAGGTGGGGAAACAGAAGGCTTGGAAAAGAGCTCAAGAGCAAGTGGTCTCCCTCAACCGGACAGCATTATATGGTCTCTCGGTCACACTCCCTGTTGTTGAGTTAGTCAGTAAGGATGAACAGCCACAGGCCACAGCAACCGGTCCTTCAGAACCAATTTAAATAGCAGGGCACAGACAGCCCTTGTGCAAACACTGTGTAAGGCGGTCTTGGCAGTTCTTACAGGGCAATTAAGTCACCTAGAGCCCTGTGCTTTGGAGGTGACAGGGGACCTCCCCGTCCAGACCAACTGGCTGAGTCCTCCCAGTCTTGCACTCTGCATCAGCGGTCACGCATAAAGTCCCTAGAGGTTCTAAGGGCTCGTCCCAGCGAGGGGAGTCACTGCAGGGCGGACTAGAAAGGCCGTCACGCCCTGGGCTCCTCCGGGACCTCAGCTAGACGAAGACCTGGGCTTCACTCAAGAGCTGGGCTGCACTAACTTCGACCCCAGAGTCACCTCGTCAAGAGCATTCGGGACGCTGGGAGGGGCTGTGCCCTACGGGGACAACAGAGGACGCTTGGGTCGGAGTTCAGAGGTCTTCTAGAGCGGGGCGTCTGCGATTTCGGGCTCACCTGATGCTCGAGGCCCTCTCGGTGTCCCCTCCCCGACCTCCGTCTCCCGCTCCCCAGCCTCAGCCCGCTTCCGGCCGTCCCCCTGCCCGGATGTCCCCTCGGGCTGGCGGCCGAGTGGCGGCGAACCAGCCGAGCAGAGCTCAGGAGGAAGGCTTCCGCCCAGCGAGGACCCGGGCGGGCAAGGCCGGAGACGGCTTGGGCCACTCACCCGCAGCCACTCCGCTCGCAGGTCCGTCGGTCTCCGTGTCAGTGACTCCACCAGCGTCGCGGTAGCGGAGCAGGACGAGCGCGAGGACGGCGCGACGTGCGCACGCAGAGAGGGGCGGGGGCTGACAGGCCACGCCCCCAGGCGCCCCACATCTAGGGGGAAGCGAGTGGCTACGCTGACACTGCCTTGCACGCCCATCCAGGAGCGGGTGTGTGTCAACAAAAGCCAACTATTTGTTGGTTGAGAGTGGTGACTCAAGCCTGGAATCCCAGCTTTCAGTGGAGGGAGGGGGAGGCTGAGGCAGGAGGATTGCCCTAAATTTAAGGGCAACCTGAGCTACAGTGTGAAAGTTTGTCGAAACAAAACAAACAAACAAAAACAAAGACTGGGGGATTGGGGATGTAACTTGTTGGGAAAGGATTATTGCATTCTAACACAACAAAACAAAATAATAATAATAAAAAAAACAGAGAGAGAGAAAGAAAAGGAACGAACGTTTTACAGTGACAAAGTTTTCTTGCTTTATTTTCCTATCTCTGCTCAGGGATGTAGGAGCCTAGCTGTCAGTCTCAACATCTACACCTTGACAACTTGGCACTTAACATGCCAGTTCCAGGGCAAACGCCAGTCTTGATTCCCGGTCTTCGTCTACCTCTGATAACAGTCCTGTATCTGTCTTTGTGCACCTTGGCTGTGGGAACTAGAGAGATGGCTCAGAGCAAGGAATGCTCGTGCTGAGGGGTCAGCTCTATTCCCGGCACCCATTGAACTCATCCATCATCTGCCTGTAACTCCAACCCCAGGGGATCTGACGCCCTCTCCTGGCCTCCACTAGCACACGCACATACCCACACACAAATGCACGTAATCAAAATAATTTTTTTTAATTTTTTTAAAAGATCTTGAGAGGGGCTGGAGAGATGGCTCAGAGGTTAAGAGCACTGACTGCTCTTCCATAGGTCGTGAGTTCAGTTCCCAGCAACCACATGGTGGCTCACAGTCACCTGTAATGAGATCCGGGGCACTCTTCTGGCCAGCAAGCCTACAGACAGACAGAACACTGTATACATAATAAAAATAATAAAAAAAAATAAAGATCTTGAGAGATGACTGGGGGCTGGAGAGATGACTCAGTGATTAAGAGCACTGCCTACCTACTCTTCCAAAGGTCCTGAGTTCAATTCCCAGCAACCACATGATGGCTCACAACCATCTGTAATGAGATCTAGTGCCCTCTTCTGGCCTGTAGGCATACATGCAGGCAGAACATTGTCTACAAAATAAATAAATTTTTCTTTTAAAAAAACAAACAAACAAACAAATGGGGCTGAGATGGCTTTCCTGTTGGGAGCTTGCATTGCTCTTGCAGAGGACTGAAGTTGATTTCCAGCTCCTGCCTCATGAAGTTTACAACTACCTTAACCCCAATTCCAGGGGGGATTTAATTCCTCCTTGGGTCTTTGAGAGCACCTGCAACTCATTTGAACATACATACACATACACATAATTAAAAATAATAAAAATAGGGCTGGAGAGATGGCTCAGAGGTTAAGAGCACTGGCTGCTCTTCCTGAGGTCCTAAGTTCAATTCCCAGCAACCACATGATGGCTCACAACCATCTGTAATGAGATCTGGTACCCTCTTCGGTACCATTTTATCATAAGATAAAAAGGTAGCTAGGTAGAATGGATAGAAAGACAATTGTCCCAATAAGGAGAATGTAAATGTTGAGAATTGCAGAATGCAGGTGGTACACATATGGCTGCTTGCTACACAGTAACTTAATCTTTTCTGTATGTTTACAGATTCTCACAGTAAAGACTTGAATGAAGTGTAGCTCAATGATACAATACTTGCCAACCATAGTAGACTTTGGAGAAAATTATTTCCCCTTTCTTTTCTTTCTGAGATAGGGTTTCTCTGTGTAGCCCTGACTGTCCTGGAATTCTCTCTCTAGACCAGGCAGCCCCTGCCTCTCAAGTGCTAGGACGAAGGGCATGTGCCACTTCTGCCCAGCTACTTTGTTTATTTGTTGGTTGGTTGGTTTTTCAAGACGGGGGGGGGGCGGGCTGTTCTCTGTGTAACAGCCCTGCCTGTCCTGGAACTAGCTCTTGTAGACCAGGCTGGCCTCGAACTCACAGAGATCTGCCTGCCTCTGCCTCCTGAGTGCTGGGATTAAAGGCGTGCACCACCACTACCCAGCCTTCCAGCCACTTTTTTAAAAATATTTATTTATTATGTATACAATATTCTTTCTGTGTGTATGTCTGCAGGCCAGAAGAGGGCGCCCAACCTCATTACAGATGGTTGTGAGCCACCATGTGGCTGCCAGGACCTTTGGAAGAGCAGGCAACGCTCTTAACCACTGAGCCATCTCTCCAGCCCTCCAGCCACTTTTTTAACTATTTTTTACCTATTACATTTTTTGTTTGTTTTCGTACTAGAGATAGAATTCCAGATTTTGAACAAGCTCTCTCACTGAGGAATGTCCACCCAGCCCCCAAATGTTCTGTTTCTGCTTCTCCATGTTCAGGTGCACAGTGTACCCACAGGCTAGGAAGATTTCAACACTTCCACAGAACCCCAATTTCTGACACTAAGATTCTAGTAATCAAGCTTCATTTGGCACCCAACATTTTGGGGTACGAATTCACGAAGGTGCCGTTTGCCTGAGGTTTTTTTTTTTTTTTTTTAGCCAGCACCCCAGGTTAGAGTTGGGATTGGAATTCCAGCTATAGGAGCTGGACCCAAACCTAGCCACTTGGGTTCCGGAGAAAAACTAGTGCTCCTAGCTCCCATCTGCTCCGGCTTAGCTTTCATGTAAAAATGGAAAATACACAGAGAATTTGGATGCTGTGTGTTATTGTATTGTCTTTGAATTGTTTGACTTCTGAGGGAGGATCAACAGGTGCTAAAAGACATTTGATTATAAATGCTGCTGGATTAATCCAACATTTATATTTTGAAAATGCCTTGACTTCAAAATTTAAGTCAAGATGTATGTTACTTTGGAGAAGAGATTTTGGAAATGAGAGCCTATGGATTCATTCTTAAGAAAAATAAGGTTTGATCAAGGAAGACCTACTGAAAAATCTCCAATGAGAACAGATGACTCAGATGATCCAATGTTTCAGAGTACATTTGTTGCAGTTTACTTTGAGTTCTACATCCAGAACAGCTTCAAGATTGCTGGCTGAGCCAAGCAGTGGTGGTACAGGCCTTTAATCTCAGCACTCAGGAGAGGAGGTAGAGACAGGTGGATCTCTGTAAATTTGAGTCCAGTCTGGTCTAAATGAGCTAGTTCCAGGACAACAGGCTCCAAAGCCACAGAGAAACCCTGTCTCAAAAAACAAAAAAACAAACAAAGAAACAAACAAAAAAACTGCTGGCTGACTGAAATGATCCAGCTTCACAGAATACTCCAGTAAGGAATCAGCATGAAGTAGCCTAGAAAACTACATCCAAATTCCCCCCAAATGGATTATGGATGTTTGTTTTTGTTTAATGTGTTGGTTATAAGTTGTTATGGGTAATCATCAGGAAGAAAGCTAAACAAAAAAAATAGATTCAAGGTTTTTGTTTTGAAAAAAACAAGCATAACCCTGTCTTAAAAAAAAAGAAAAAGAAAGAAAAAAAGGAAAAGCAAAAAAGGGATATAAACATGATAAGATAGAAAGGTACTCTGAAGAGAAAAAGGGAGGGTACAGATATAAGGTAGAAAGGTAGATTATTGAATCTACCTATTAAAAGCAACTTTTAGTTTTAAATGTTTACATTGGTTTTACTTTTATATATTGTATAAAAATTTTTATATTGATGCAAATTGAGATTAATTTTGTTAAAACATACTGTATATACATTCCTAATTTTGTTCAGGGTATTGTACCTACACAGCTCTTTTAGCAAGGTAATGCAAATTTCTAGTCCTTGAAAATTATAATCAACTGCTTAAGATAATAAAGAAATATAAGTTAGTAGTTAATCACCTAGTATAATCAAACTTGTAGTCACATTAGGTATGTTTTCAAGGTCAAACAAAGATATAATTTAGATAGATAGGTCATCTTCAAACTCTTCAGAGATCTACAGAATATGGCATTTAAGATGTTTTAATAAGATAGGTTATTCTTTTTATGACAATGAGACGTGTTTGCTCCTGGAAGCACCAATCTACTTCGTAGAAGACCATATGCATCGAAGACACTCCACATGGAGTTTACTTTCTTTGTGGCAAAATTAAGCCACTGGGCAAGAAAATGCCCCTGCCTCAATTGCTGACAGTATGCTGTCCTAATTAGACAAGAAGGACACAAAATATCATGCTTCACAGAAAAGTCTGCCGAATACGCGAGGCCTGTAGGGCGAAGACAGATGCCTCAACATTGCAGAGAAACTTTTGGTGACTGTCCAGACAGCCAGATGTTTCTGTCCTTACTCATATTTTTTGGAAGTCTCTTGCTTGCACTTCTGCTTACTCAGTTAATATCATTTCCTTCTTGGGTTTCTGAGGGAGCTGAAGATTAGATAGCTATAGATATAATTTACCGAACACAGAAAGCAAGTTATGATAGAAATTAAATTAGGTAGAAAACTTTGGACTCACCAAGATAGGATAAATATGAAATATTTTTTCTGAATTTGTCAAATAAAAATGGACTAGATATTTTTGATGTATTTATTGCCTTTTATATTGTATATAGTCGATGTACTTACTGTATATAGTTTTCTTGTATTAGTTATAGCCTTTTTAATTTTTTTTAGATGAAAAGGGGAAACATAGTGGCATTTCAACTGTATTTTAATAAATTAAGATTACCTTAAGATCTGAGAGTAAAACAGTGCCACTGGTTAGCCTTACAGACCAGATTATAATGACACACAGTAGCCGCAATGACACACACCTTTAATCTCAGTAGCCATAAAGACACACACCTTTAATCCCCATAGCCACACTAGTTGCCATAGAAACTGGGCGTGCATGCCTTTGATCCCAACCCTCCGAGAGGATTATAAAATGGGGTCGACAGCTCTCAGACGCAGTCTCCTTCTGAGATTCCAGGAGGCAGGATCGCCATTTCAGACTGAGGTTGAGGGTAAGAGCCAGTGGCTGGCTGTTTTCCTTTTTAGGTCTTGAGGTTGACACCCAATTTCTGACCCTGAGCTTTTATTAATCGTGTTATAGATGTTTTTGAGCCACCATGTGATTGCTGAGACTTGAACTCAGGACCTTTGGAAGAGCAGACAGTGCTGTTAATCCCTGAGCCATCTCTCCAGCCCCTGTCCTTTTTTTTTCTCCCAGAGACAGGGTTTCTTTGTGTAGCCCTGGCTGTCCTGGAGCTCTCTGTAGGCCAGGCTGGCCTTGAATTCACAGAGACCTGCCTGTCTCTGCCTCCTGTTGTAGGAATCTAACAGTCACTGGAGATAGGGCAATCATTAGAGCAGAATAGCTGCTTTCTTTAAGCTGGGAACCAGTGACTGTTGTCTGTGGTTTATAGAGCTGTCTTTTTAAAGCGGCTTTGCAGTCTTTGCATAACTCTGGTCACAGATGCTTCTGGCACACCTGGAGCTCTTGGATTACTGGGTACTGCAAACACAATACGAACTAAGGTGGCCGGGGCGTGATGCTTTCCTTCAGAAGACATATAGATTAGATCGGGGGCTTTGGTATGAGGAACTTGTTTGCCCCCAAAATACCGAAAAAACAGCTTTGTGCAACAATCAATAAATAAGGTTACACAGCTGTTCAAGGTTTAGTCCATCAGAGGCTGGACCTCCCTGCTGCCACACAGGCCTAAAGAATTCATCTTCGAATGACCTCTTTGGCCAATCCAGGTAACACAGAACACCCGACAGCCTTCTGAGTGCTGGGATTAAAAGTGTGCGCCATCACCGCCTGGCATTGCTTCCTCCGTCATAACTCTGCCAACTCTACTGAAAAGAGAAAAGAAAAAACACAGCACAAACCCCAAACCCCTCCCTTTGAGAAACTGCTGGGAGGACCTACAGCACCAGCTGAGGCTCACGGGAGAAGTCTCATGGCCAGCCCACTAGGTGAGCCTGACTAAGCGCCCTGAGAAGGGTGTTTGGACCGATGACCAATCATAGCTATTTGCTTTGGACAAACTTTAGCTATTTGTTTTGGACCAATCACAGTCTTGCCTCTTAAGCACGTACAAGAGACACTGAGACTTGAGCTTGGAGTAATCATTACCTTGCCTCTTAGCACAGGCCAGGTAATGTTTTGCTAGGTCACAAAGAGACACGTTCCCCCTCTGCCTAGATAGAAATAGTTGCAAGATCAAAATTCACTGAGGCTTCTTGGTAAGCAATAAGTTGGCATAGCAGATTTTCCAACAGCCCTCACCAAAGCTGTGCCTTCAGGAAAGCAATCCTGTGATCCTTAGTTTTCTCCAGGTGTCTGTGGAGTGTTCCAGCTGGCTGGTGCTGGCATAATCCAGTCCAGCTGACTGTTTGACTGACAGGTCTTTTACATAAGGCAGCAGAAAAAAGTCCACCAGCTGCTAATTAGGGAATTAGATCGCCCCGCTCCCCAAAGGCTCTGCTTATTCGCAGGAGAGCGAAGCAGTAAGAACCTGCAGAACTTATCATTAGCATTTAATAGTGATTTTAACAGATGCTTACAACGCTCTACAAATGCCCGACACCTGCTCAATACCCCAGAAAGACATGAATTCCCTTTGTCTCATTGGCACAGAAGCATAATATAATAGGGTGGTAGAGATGACATATGCAAAATAAATTCATAAATGGATGCCCATGCTCCTGTACATACTCCTTTCACCCATGCTCCTCCTGTAAGCAACCCTAACGAAATCATTAAGGAAAAAAAAATTTCTCAAAAAAACATTAAGGAAAAAAAAGGGGGGCTAGAGAGATGTCTTAATAATTGAGTACTCGCTTGCTGCTTTTCTACAGGATCCCAGTTCAGTCCCTAGAACGCACATGGGGATTCTCACAAACACATGTGACTCCGGTTCCAGGGATCTATACAGATATCTGCACACACATGCACAAACACATATAGACAAAATTTAATATAGAATAAAATATTTTAAGTATTTTTAAAATGTTTAAAACAGAGTAAAATAAGAAAACAAATATAAGAGCAGAAGGTGATAGACTGGCTGGAAAGGATGGGAATCAACAAAAGATGGTGGTGAGCATGATAAAAACACGTTTATACGTTCATAAAAACGTCATTGTGAGCTGGGCGGTGGTGGCGCACACCTTTACTCCCAGCACTCGGAAGGCAGAGGCAGAGGCAAGCGGATCCCTTGAGTGTGAGGCCAGTCTGGTGAAAACCAAAACCAAAACCAACAAAAAATTAAAAAATAAAAATTCATAAATGACATTTGGAAGTAAAATACAAACATAAAAGTGCACATATTAAGTAATAAACACATGTATTTTTTTGAAAGTATGGAGAGTATTCCCTTTTCTCCACAACCTCTCTAGCATAAGTTGTCATCAGTGTTTTTGATCTTGGACATTCTTACAGGTATGAGATGGAATCTCAGAGTTGTTTTGATTTGCATTTCTCTGACTAAGGATGCTGAACATTTCTTTTAGTGTCTTTCAGTCATTTTAGATTCCTCTGTTGAGAGTTCTCTGTTTAGGTCTGTACTCCATTTTTTTTTAAAATTGGATTATGTGATCTTTTGGTGTCCAATTTCTTGAGTTCTTTGTATATTTTGGAGATCAGACCTCTGTCTGATGTAGGGTTGATGAAGATCTTTTCCCATTCTGTAGGCTGTCGTTTTGCCTTGTTGGCCATATCCTTTGCTTTACAGAGGCTTTTCAGTTTCAGGAGGTTCCATTTATTAATTGTTTTTCTCAGTGTCTATGCTGCTGGGGTTCTATTTAAGAAGAGGTTCCCTATGCTAATGTGTTCAAGTGTACTTCCCACTTTCTCTTCTATAACGTTCAGTGTGGCTGGCTTTATGTTGAGGTCTTTGATCCATTTGGACTTGAGTTTTGTGCATGGTGATAGATATGGGTCTATTTTCATTCTTCTACATGTTGATATCCAGTTATGCCAGCACCACTTGTTAAATATACAGCCAGGACTGTTACACAGAGAAACTGTCTCAAAAAAAGATTGCAGTTCCTGCAAAAGTGAGTCAGGCAAAGCAGTCCCACAGATGGCCGCAGAGGGTTAAAAACCACCGACACTTAATAATTAGGTGCAAATGAAGATAGACGTTCATGTATGTATCAAAATAGTAATCAAGACGGGCTGTGTCACCAGCACTGGTGAGGCAGAGCCCGGCCTAGATAGCAAGTTCCAGGCCAGACGAGATTACATAGTGGGACCTCATCAATAATAATGATGATAATGCCAAAAACATTTTATGAGTTTAGATCTATGTTTCACATAACTAGCCAAGCATGATAATCCATACCTCTAGTTCCAGCACTCTGGAGGCTGAGACAGGTATTCGTCCAACAGATCACCCCTATCCCCACCCCCCCCACCCCCAGTTATGTGCCATAAGAGCTTTGGACAAAACGGACCGGCACACTCAGGGCAGAGTACACATTCAAATACTTAAACCCAGAAGCAGCCTTAGCATGAAGGGAGGAACCATCCAAGGCAGCGAGGGGGGGGGGGAGCAGGTTGAGTGAGCAGGAGCAGAGTCAGGAACAGGACCGCAGGGGCTCGGAAGCCTGGCATCCGCCTGGCTACACGGATAGTGAGGCCTGGAGGGGTTCTGCAAGGGTAGCCTGGAGGCTACAGTGGGGGCTGGTGACTTGCATAGGATTGCCTCCCCCCCCCTTTTAGTGGACTCTGCTGCAGGCCCGCGGATCCCGCCAAATCCTATTTCCCCCACCCCCATCTTCCCCTCCCAGCCTTTGTCACCCGAGTTGCGGTTTGGGTGCTGGAAGCAGAGAACCTCCAGGACACTGGGTATAACCAAACGGGATCTCGGAAATCATTCAGGGACCGGACGGCTCCGGGCGGAGATCCTGCCCTTCCTCAACTCCGTCACTCCAGGCCTCTCGGGAACACGCTCCTTCGGCCCTGGGCCCCATGGCCGATAAGAAACTGGTGGTGGTTTTTGGAGCCACAGGTGAGCGAGCCAGGCCTGGCAGTCCCGCCCCTCGTGTGTAGGAAGAGCGGCTGTGGTTCTAATAGGCATATGGGTGGGCGGGGGCGGCAAAACCTGAGTACAGTTTGGATATATATATATATATATATATATATATATATATATGCCGGCGTGGTGGCTCACACACCTTTAATCTGAGGACTCAGAAGGCAGAGACTGGAGGCTTTCTGAGAGTTTCAAGGCCAGATGGTCTTCAGAGCAACTTCCGTGTGTGTGCACGCACACGCGCTAGCCTATGTATTTGCACAGAATACCAAATTAAATTTTCTCCCTTCCTCCTCCCCCAGATAACAAATTTCCTTGGTGTTGTACCAGAGTAAATATAAACGTCGGCCACATTCTCAGACAGCAGCATGCACCTTCGCTTCCACACACTTTCCTGTCCGCTCTGCTTTCCTTTCAGAAAAACACCACTCACGTAAAATAGATGAATAACCTACCGCCACCACGGTTCAGCAGTTCAGTGTGCAACTGAGGGGAAAACCTTTGCCCAGTATTTGGGAAGTTCTAGGTTCAATCATTAGCCTTGGAAAAGTTTTTGTTTTGTTTTTTTAAGAATTTATATATCTGAAAGGGGGGGGGGAAGGCTAATTTTGGTATTTGGGAGCAGAAGCAGGTGACTCTGACTTCCAGGCCTTCTCAAAATAAACTAATGAATAATGGAGCTGGAAAGATGCTTTTTTTTTTTTTTTTAATAAAGTTCTGGCTGTCCTGGCACTCACTCTGTAGACCAGGCTGGCCTCAAACTCACAGAGATCCATCTGCCTCTGCTTCCTGAGTGCTGGGCTTAAAGGTATGGGCCACCACACCTGATCCTTTTTTAAGGTGGATTGTGTCATCAGGGCAGCTGGCTTTAAACTCCTGAGGTCCAAACTGCCCTCCTCATCAGCCCCTGGAGTAGCTGAGACAACAGGTAGACTGGCCACCACCTGGCTAGGAGAGGTTATAGTAGGAGGCTGGGATGCTGGGTGGTAGTGGCACATGCCTTTAATCCCAGCACTCAGAGGCAGGCAGATCTCTGAGTTCAAAGCCAGCCTGGCCTACAAAGTGAGTTTCAGGACAGACAGGGCTGTTATACAGAGAAAGCCTGTCTATGTAAACAAACAATAAATAACTAAATGGAAGCTGGAGAGAGAACACTTGATACTCTTGTAGAGGTTTGGTTTGGTTCCCAGCCACCCCACCTGGCTGCTCACAGTGATATGTAACTCCAGTTTCACGTGATCTGAGGCCCTCTCCTGGCCTCCTCAGGTACTACACATACATACTACATGCAAGCAAAATACTGATCCGCATAATAAAAATAAATAAAAGTTTTAAAAAGGAAAATCTTGTAAGGACATATATGTGCTGCAAGCGAGGAATGAAAATGGGGGCCGTGAGATGGCGCAGCAGGGGAGAGTGCCCGCCACCAACACCGACTGCTTGGACCTTCTCATGTGCGCGTGCAAACAAACACACACACACACAGTACAAATATGTGAGAAAAACGGAAATGTAGATTAATCTTGAACTGACAGAAGCAGTCACCAGAGGCCACAAATATGATTCCATTTGCATGAAAGTCAACAAAGGGCAAATCCCAAGTAAATTAGTGGCTGACAAGTTAGTGAAAGGGAATTGAGGCCTCCATGATGGTAGGAGGAGATTAAGAATGGTTACCCAATTCACTGGTTATATTAGAAAGCATTTTATTATACATTTTATTCCTTCGTTATTTTGTATGTGTATGTATGGTGCTCGGGATTGAGCCTAGAGTCTCACACATTCTAGGGAAACACGACAGCTGAACTGTTCCATCAGCCTTTGAATTCTACATTTTAAAAAGGCAAAGCGCTGCTTGTGGAAGACCTTACTTCAGCTCCCGGCATTCATGTTGGGCTGCTCACAACTGTCGGTAGTTCCGATTTCAGGGGATATAATGCCCTTTTCTGTCCTCCATGAACACCAGATACGGATTGCTACATATGCAGGCAAGCACTCATACATCTAAGTCCAGTAAATGGCATGCTGTGGTGGCTGGTGCCTGTATTCCCAACATTCTGGAGAAAGAGGCTGGAAGAAAAAAAAAGATCAGTCTCTAAACAAAAACCCTAGTAAAGAAGATGGGTGTGGTAGTGTATTTCTTTAAACCTAGCACTGCAGGGGAATCTCTGAGCTCAGGGCCAGCCTAGTCTACATGTGAGTTCCAGGTCAGCAGTGAGATTCTCTCTCAAAATAAAACAAAGCAACTTCCCCCCAAATCTAGAAAACCTAAAAGTAGTTTAACAACATTCGTGTTTCCGGGCATCTTTTTTTTGCTGTGGTGGAGCAATCCCTGCTGGGCTGTACTCTGGCTCTGACACTAGCAGTTGTGACCCCAGAGAACTTTTTGATTCTTCACAGGTGCCCAAGGTGGCTCAGTGGCACGCACATTGCTGGAAGACGGGACATTCAGGGTTCGGGTGGTAACAAGGAACCCCGAGCAGAGAGCCGCCCAGGAGCTGAAGCTGCGAGGAGCGGAAGTGGTGCGAGGAGACCAGGATGACGAGGCTAGCATGGAGCTCGCACTGATGGGAGCTCATGCCAGCTTCATCGTGACCAACTACTGGGAGACGTGCAGCCAGGACCGAGAAGTCAAGCAGGTAAGGGTGTGAGAAGATGGGGGCCTGGTTCAGTGTGTCTTGCACACACTGTGGCCCCCAGCTGATGTAGAAGGCAGTTTTGACTTCCCAGGGAGGGCTGAGCACTTCAGGTCTTGCTCCTTTCTTGCCTCTCTCCAAACACAGATGGAGGACACGCCCTCTACCTAGCTCTTGGGCCCACTCCATCCTACGGCAGATGGGACAAACATCTGGTTGAGACAGATTTGTCTCCCTAATCCTGGGAAACCTGTGAGCCTCCTGGGGCGACAGTAACCATACTCCAGGTGGTCCAAAGCCACAGAGATTGTCTCGCAGTTCTGAAAGTTGGCGATCCAGATTAAGGTGCCAGCAAGGTCACAGTCCCTTATCTCTTGAGAAGTGCTTCCACGGCTCTTCCAGCTCCTGTGCTCTAGGTGTGCCTAAGTTTATGTATCAAACCAGTCCTTCTTCCATATCTTCCTGGCTCCTTGTGGGTTTTATTTTGACAGGAAGGGGTGAAACAAGGTCTTGCTATGTAGCCCAAGTAGGCTTGGAATCTGTAATCTTGAACGCTAGGATTACAGACATATGCCACCATGCCTGGCTTGATTATTTTTTTCTTCTTATTTTATGTTTATGGCATTGTCTATGTTACTTTTCCATTGCTGTGAAGAAACACCATGACTAAGGCAACTTATAAAAGAAAATGTTTATTAGGGCTCATGATTCCAGAGAGTTTGAGTTCATGATCATGTTAGGAAGTATGGCAGAAGACCGGGAGGCATGGCACTGGAGCAGTATCCTGATCCATGGGCATGGCATAAAGCTCAAAGAGCTGCCAGAGTATAGGCTTTTGAAACCTAAAAACCCATCTCCAGTGCCCAGTGCCACACACTGACAAGGCTGTATCTCCTAATTCTTCCCAAACAGTCCCACCAGTGGGACTGAGTTTTCAAGCTTATAGGGGCTGTTCTCATTCAAGCCACCGCATGTGTCTTGTCTGTCTGTATGTCTATGGCACCTCCTGTATGCATTGCTCACAGAGGCCAGAAGAGGGCATCAGGTCCCCCCTGGAACTGGAGTTACAGACAGTTGGGAGCTGCCGTGTGGGTACTGGGAAATGAACCTGGGTCCTCTGGAAGAGCAGTCAGTGCACTTAGACAATGAACCATCTCTCCAGAGCCTCGGATTTAGGATTTGCGTGATTAATAATCTAGGATGATCAAATCTCAAGACTGTTAGTTCTATCTACAAAGACCCTGTCACCAAATTAAATCACATGTACAAGTTTGCAGGGGTAAGATATGGGGAGCTGCAATTTCATACCCCCAACTTTAGTGGCATGGATTGTTACTAACCAGTGTGGTCACAATGGTTGGACCACTTGTCCTGGTCACACAGCCCAGATGAACCTGAGTGGGCCTTGGTGCTTAACCATTGAGCTGTTGCTTCTCCAAAGGTGACTTAGAGCTCACCAATGAAGTCAGTAGACTTCTGTGGTCAGCAAAGATGGGACATGAGGGCTGGAGAGATGGCTCAGAGGTTAAGAGCACTGACTGCTCTTCCAGAGGTCCTGAGTTCAATTCCCAGCAACCACATGGTGGCTCATGGCCATCTATAATGAGATCTGGTGCCCTCTTCTGGCCTACAAGCATACATGGAAGGATATGCTGTATACATAATAAATAAATAAATAAATAAATGGGACATGTACAACAAAAAGGCTCTTATGCACCCCTTCTCAGGGCAGGCTTGCTCTTTCTAAATTTTTCTTTTTTTTCTATTTTTAAATAGGGTCTCATGTAGCTGAGGTTGGCCTTGAACTCCTGATCTTCCTGGCTTCACCTCTGATCTATCCCTTAGTGTGCATAGTTGAAGAAAATCTGTGACCTTAAGGTGACCCTGGAGTTTGAAAGCTCAGTGTAGTGCTGCACTTGAGCATTATTCCAGAGCAGAGGCTTCCTTGGGGTAGCTGGGGCTGACTTTTAGCATCACGGGTGGGGAGCCGTGGAGTTATTCCTTGTGCAGAGGAGGAGGGTTAGGGACACACAGCCTTCCTCTTCTTACCCTGCGGTCTCTCCTTCCTGCTTACCAGGGCAAGCTTCTAGCGGACCTGGCCAAACGCTTGGGCCTCCATTATGTCGTGTACAGTGGCCTGGAGAACATTAGGAAGCTGACGGCGGGAAGGCTGACAGCAGGCCACTTTGATGGCAAAGGGGAGGTGGAGGAGTACTTCCGAGACATCGGTGTTCCCATGACCAGCGTGCGCCTGCCTTGCTATTTTGAGAACCTTCTTTCCTTTTTCCTGCCCCAGAAAGCTGCAGATGGACAGAGCTACTTGCTGCGTGAGTGTGCCCTACCCCACACAGTGAAACACAGTTCGCAGCATAGGAAACAACAGTGGGGTTGTCACCAGATCACTCTGGGTCTAAGACCGGGCTCGAGACTGGGAGTCATCTAACTTAGGTAGGCCTCAACATTCTGTGAAATACATTTAACACAATGGTTCCTTGGAGTAATGAGAGAACTAGCCAGGGTTATTACTGCTCTCGGAACAGGAAACAGAGGATGTAGACAGTACCTGCTGGCCAGTCTCTAAATACATACTGGATGCCTGACCCAGCTTGGAAGGGAGCTCCAGCCAACTAGTGGCCTGCCAGTGGGTCAGTGGATTGGAGCAGCATGGAGAAGAGGCCGAAGCTGGAGGGGCTGGTACCTGGGGCTCCTTCTCTGCCCTCTGATGATCTGTCACTCACCCTCTCGGGAGGATACCGGTGTTGACATATCTGCCCAGTGAATGACAGACCCCTGGGACAGACTTATAGTTCGCAGAACTTGAGTGCTGCTGGCACTACATGAAGACAGACCAACACTGTCATGTGTGGCTGCCCAGAGGACGGGCTGCTGGGAAAACCAGCTGCCAACCCCTTCCCCTGCTACCACACGTATCTGTCCTCACAGACTTGCCCATGGGTGACGTCCCTATGGATGGGATGGCGGCGAGTGACCTGGGCCCCGTGGTGCTCAGCTTGCTGAAGAAGCCAGAGGAGTATGTAGGGCAGAACCTCGGGCTCAGCACCTGCAGGCACACGGCAGCGGAGTACGCGGCACTTCTCACCCGACACACTGGCAAGGCTGTACAGCATGCAAAGGTGGGTTCTTCCCCGGAGCTCTGAAGGCCCAGATCTTGAACGATGCCCCTAACTCCCAAATGGTTGGTTTTTTGGTTTATTTCGAGGCAGGTAGGTAGATCTCTGAGTTTGAGGACAGCCTGGACTACAGAACGGGTTCTGGAACAGCCAGGGCCACACAGAGAAACCTGCCTGGGGGGGAGGGGGGACAATAAATAAAAAGTGCACTTAAATGGCCATGTGGCTTTAAAAAGAGGTGGGACTAAGCCAGGGTTGTAGAAGACCTAAGGAACTCAGAGTTTAGATTGGGTTTGGAAGGAAAAAAGGAATAAATAGTTTTGGCTTTTGAACGAGGAAGTGATGTGGCTGATTTCCACTCTGAAGGGCACTGATGGCTTTCATCTCATGACTCTGAAAGAACAGCTTTTAAACTGATCAGCGCCAGGGAGCCTGTGAGGAGCCACGGTTTCCATGCTTCTGGCTTTCTAGCTGGAAGTGTTCAAGTGGTCTCAGTGAGGGCCCGACTTAGTGACTGCAGGGCCAACCAGCTACGCCCTGGCTTCCCTAGACTTGGAAGGAAGCCAAACCTACCTGGCATCACCAGGGCTGTGGAGGAGGCAGACATGTGGGTTCTCTGTTTCCAGACAACTCCTGAGGAATATGAGAAGCTTGGCTTCCCGGGAGCCCGAGACTTGGCCAACATGTTCCGTTTCTATGCGCTGAAACCCGACCGGAACATTGACCTAACCCTGCAACTCAACCCCAAGGCCCAGACTTTGGACCAGTGGCTGGAGCAGCACAAAGGGGACTTTGCACAGCTGTGATCTTGAAGCTCTCTTCTGGGGAATGAGGTACAACCATCCTTTGTGTATAGTTTTGTGGTTTGGGGGTTTTCCCTTCAAATAAAACCACTGTTCTCACAGATGGTTTCCCAGAAGGCCTGTCTGTGGGAAGTGAGCTGGAGTGGCAGCTGCGTGAAAATGGGCCCTGACGGCACAGAAATGGTAGTAAGAGGCACCAATGGGCATAAGGGCTCATTAGGCACCGAGGGCCAGAGCACTGAGGCCGCCTGTGCATTCGTTCTGAATGAGGACAGACTAATGTAGACACCCTGGACCCTGTCCTTTTCCCTCTCTTCACCACAACTCTGGACAGGTGCAGCCAAGCTAGGAATAACCTTCAAAGGAGCCTGAAAAAAAAAGGGGGGGCTAGAGAGATGGCTCAGTCAGTGAAGTGCCTGCTGTGCAAGCATGGAGTCCTGAGTTCGGATCCCTGACACCCACTTATGAAAACAGGCAGGACCTACAGTTGCAGGAAGGTCTCTGGAGCTCACTGGCCCGCTAGTCTTAACTTGAACCAGTGAGCGCCAGGCCTGCCTCACAGGATCAGGCAGGGAGTGATGAAACACTGTGTGTAACATCAGTTTCTGTCCTTAGTGCTTACACAGGCATGTTCACCTGTACATGCGTGTAACATGTATGCTTACAACACACCCATACAGAAAGAGCAAAGGAAACGTGGCAGAGCTATGGGTCACTGTGGAGATGAGGTGTGGTGCCTGTGGCTAAGACCAACATGATAGGTGAGCTTGCCTCTAAGCCCGCCCTTCAGAGGGAGCAACAAAGGCCCAGAAAGCCCAGACACCTGTTGAAATTTCATGGCAAGTCTGTGAATTTCCACCTGTGTACGGGCTGTCTGACCACTGGCACACATCTTTTACTGTCCATCCCTGACCAGACTGCACCAGCAAGGAAAGGAGCAGCCATCCCTTCAAATGCATCCTACCAGAGACTCTTGACTGAGGCATACCCTAAAATATGGGGTAAACAAACTAGTTAACACTGTCTGCCTTGAGGAAACTTCTTTTTTTTTTTTTTTTTTTGAGACAGGATTTCTCTGCATAGCCTTGGTTGTCCTGGAACTCATTTCTGTAGACCAGGTTGGCCTCAGACTCAGAGATCCACCTGCCTCTGCTTCCACAGTGCTGGGACTAAAGGTGTGTGCCACTACCACCCTGTTGAAGAACTTATGGGGCGGGGGGTGTTAAATAGATCTAGCTAGCCTCAAGTTCACAGATCTGCCTGCTTCTGCTTCCCAAGTTCTGGAATTAAAGACATAACCACCATACCCAGATAGCAATAAACAAAAATTGACCTGCAGTAACTGACTTTCTTCTTCCACATATGGGTTCCAAGGATTGAATTCAGATAATCACGCTTTTATCCAGAGTCATCCTGCTAGGCCCCAAAAGTTTAATATGGGGGACAGCTGAGATGGCTTAGCAGGTAAGAACATTTGCTGCTCTTGCAGAAGACCCTAGTCTGGTTCCTAGCACCCACACAGTAGCCAATAATCACAAGCCCCTTGTGATTTCAGTTCCAGAAGCTACAATGCCCTCTTCTGGTCTCTGTGTGCAAGTGGTGCAGAGATATATGTGGACAAAACACCCCCACACATGGTTTTTTAAAATGCAGCTGAGGACATAGCTCAGTAGTAGAACACTTGCCCAGCATGCCTGAGGTCCTGGGTTCAATACTAGGTACTACCTTTAAAAAAGAAATTCCAGCCTGGGCCACATAGCAAAACAAAGTTTGAAAACTAGAACAATCAACAAAGGACACAGTGAGCACGTGCACATTTCTCAGCAGGACTCTCCAAATCTACCAGGTTCAAGAGTTTGCTCGCAGAGGAACATTGTCTTCTGGCAAGGGCTTGTTCTGGAAATGGGGGTAGGTGATCTGTAATGTCGGTGCACTAGGTCCACCTTGCTGTCAGGAAGAGAAATCTGAACTAGCAGATGCTGCCAGCTGATTCTCCTGTTGCCTCTGCTGGGCCACCTGCAGATGCTAGCTTGAACTTTCAAAGAAGAAATGACCACAATTTTGGTTTTAAATATGTTTTGTAGATCATCTTATTTACACTGATACAGAAATCACTTTACATTCTTAAATCAGACACTAAGAAATGCTTTACTTTTGTAAATTATAAAGGAAAAGAAAGAAACTACAGTGTTCTTCATTAGTGTGTCCTTCACTAGCTCCAGGACCTTGGAACACACGGAAACCGTAACATGCTTCCAGCAGAGGCTGGAAATGAGACCGCTCTGTGCATGGTGCAGTCTTCACCCAGGACACTGCGCTTTCCCTCCTGACATTTACACAGGAAAAGACAATGATTCTTATCACTGGGTAACTTAAATACACTTTGGAAATCAAATGTCAGCAATGGAAGAGGGGGAACCAAGTCCTGGTTGGCAAAGCTCTGGATTCAGAGGCTGACGGCTGTCTCACATGACCAGTTAACTTTGGTCCAACAGGGTAGGACACATCTTCCACACCTGACTAGAACAATCTAATCAGTTGTCAGGCAAGCTGCTTCTGAGGTGAAGTGGACAGAGTGACTGAGTTGCCCACAGAGTGCCTCCAGGGCCCTAGCACCCACTCTCCAGCTGCTTGGTGCCTTCAATAAAACAAAAGCAAACAAACTCCAAGGGGAGTGGCAAGCACCTCAACAGACCCTGTCAGGGAGGGTGGCACTGGCGGGGTATGCTGTCCCTAGGTCCTAGAGAGGACAGCCTGTCAGGAAATATGTATTTCAGAACCTCCATGAGCTTTGTTGAAAGGGAAATTAATCACTTCACAACGCTGTGCAGCTTTAGGCTTCATTTTAAGCTGTAAGCACGGCCTTTAATTTTTTTAAAGCTCTCTACTACATGTGATTCCATGTTTTTAGTTCTACAAGAAGAGTCCAAGTGTTTTATTACCCTGTCTGGGCCAGAAGCAAGTCACCTACCAGTGGAGAGGATATTTCCACCAGCCCAAAGGCAACACATCACTGCATAGGGGCTGTTACCATGACCTATGTAGAGGTGTCATCATGTCATTTTGCTGTTACTAGGTGGTTCAGAGGGCTCCGTAAGCAGGGATCCCCAAGCTGCTGTTCTGGGATCCTCCTGTGTCAGATGCCCTGGCCGTGGAGAGGGGCTGCTCCTGGTCTAGTTTCCAGTTGACCGTTTTCCTGAGCCAAGGAGACAAACAGTTATACTCCACACCTCAGAAGAACTCATCCGTGTGGGAGAGGCTCTGTTAATCCCTGGAGAATGGCTGTGTTTAGAGGGTCAAGAGCCCCAGGATCTGGGGTGAGCACAAGCTGTCTCCAGGCACAGATCACAGTACGACTCAGCAACCCCAGACCTGCACAGTACCACGCTGCCTGGATACAACAGGGTGCTAAGAAGCAGGTCGGAGGTGGAGGAGATCTGAGTTCTAGGCTTGGCTCCGCCACAATTTGCCTTCTGGACTGTGGGCAAACTGGTCCTACCATGGAGGGACAGAGTCCCTGGGAAATTCAACCCATCAAAGAAGGAATCTAAATTGAATCTGAATGAAGATGTTGACCACTGCAGCCTGCTTTATCCTGATCTGCTCCAAGGATTTAGAGGACACCATATTTGCTACATTTTTGATTGGCACTGCTTCTGACTTCTGGAGTAGGGTAGGGTGGGGTTTGATGTTGATTAAAGTGACCAGAAGAGAGATTAGTTCACAGAGGAAAACGGGGAAGAACACTCACAGGTTTTCCTACCTCAGCAGGGGTATCAGGAAGTAAACATTTTCTTAAGTTTGGAAAGGAATCCCTCATTGTCCTCCCCAGCCTCTCGCCTATCCTTGCTTCCTGTGGAGCTATCCATGGTTCTGCCACCTGGGCACAAACAGCAGAAAGAACCAAGGTCAAGATCACACACCTCCAGACAGCAAATGCCTGCCCCACCTACCCATGTCTAGCTGCCCTGGGGCTGGCACTCAAGGAGCTGGCAAGGGCCACTCTCGGGCTGGCAGGGGGACCTCGGGTGTTAGCCTGAGCAAATGGACATCACAGCTCTTCCTGGAGTCAAACCACAGGAGGGAAACGCACTGTCTGCATCCTGAACAATAACAAAGGCAAACTGAATGCCAGAGGCCTTGAGGCCAAGTCACATAGCTTATACACAGTAGCTCATCATCTTCGCGTATCTGACGTGTACACAGAAGCAATGCTGTCAGGTCCACCTAGAGCCCCAGAGCCAGCCAGCAGGAAGGAGAACTAAGCTCAAACCTAGCCCAGACTCTTAACCACCAACCTACTGGCTACAAGATAATCAATGAAGCTTTAAAAAAAAAATCCAATTTCTGAACCCACTGTACATTACACACTGTCTATGTTGTACATATTGACATGCCCAAGATAACCAGCGAGGGAGCGACTCTTGCACAATCCTCTGCTGTACATTGCCTTGTCTCTCACAGTGCCAGTGAGGTGTATATTACTCTGACATCTAACCCCCACTGCTGCAGATAATGCACAGCTGGACGGATGGTTTTTAGGACAAAGACCGAGGTTACCTAACTCTGCACAAGAAACTTGCCAACCCGGAAAGATGGAGGCAAACCTTGACTATGAGTTACGCTATACACCTATAACATCATTTTGTGTGTTTTGGCTATTCTTTGTGTGACAGGGTGTCATAGCCCAAGCTGGCCTTCGACTCATTTTGTAGCCCAGACTGCCTTTGAACTATTAGAGCTTCTGCTCCACTACTCCTAAGTATAGGTGTGAGCAACCATGCCTGATAATTTCATGATGATGCCATGATAAAATTGTGTGTGTATATGTATGTGTGTGTGGGTGCAAATACAACTGCATGCAACAGAGTATGTATGGCGGCCAGAGGACAACTTGTGAGGGTCAGTTCTGTCCTTCCACCAAGTGGGCTCCAGGGATCGAACTCAGGTTGTCAGGGTTCATAGCAAGCAGGCTTACCTGCTGAGCCATCTCAAGTCTTATAGCACATGTTTTTAATGTTGCTGATACATGTTCCCTGTATAGTGTACAACCAATTAAAAGAACCTAGTGTGGTTGTACATACATTTTTTAAAAAAATTTATTTATGGGGGCTGGAGAGATGGCTCAGAGGTTAAGAGCATTGCCTGCTCTTCCAAAGGTCCTGAGTTTAATTCCTAGCAACCACATGGTGGCTCACAACCAGTTGTAATAGGGTCTGGTGCCCTCTTCTGGCCTGCAGGCATACACACAGACAGAATATTGTATACATAATAAATAAATATTTTTAAAAAATAAAGATTTATTTATTATGTATACAGTGTTCTGCCTGCATGTATGCCTATACACCAGAAGACAGCGTCAGATGTCACTATAGATGGTTATGAGCTAACATGTGGTTGCTGGGAATTGAACTCAGGACCCCTGGAAGAGCAGCCAATGCTCTTAACCTCTGAGTCATCTCTCCACCCCTAGTTGTATATACTTTTAATCCCAGCATTTAAGAGGTAAAGACAAGCAAATTTCTTTGGGTTTGAGTCTAGCCAAGGCTATAAAGTAAGGCCTTATTTATAAAAATAAAAATAAAATAAAATAGTCCCAGCTTCCAACAGTCAACTGAGGCTCTTTAGAGGGAGGTATCCAAAGCTCAGAGGCACAAATCTGGGAACAAGGGTAGGGTGGGGTCTGTAGTTTTGTGGAACACTGTCCTATAACACAACAGCCACTGTCATCAGAGTAGCTAGGACCACCTGCAAGATACTCTCAAAACTGGGCCTTTTAATAAACTTGAAAGACGGATTAGGGAGAGGGTCATGAGACCCTCCTCACTCCCTCATGTACCTTCTGCTGGCTGCATGTAATTCTACTCCACAGTATGTGTTCTCGGGAAGGTTAACTGAAAAGGGAACTCCACGATGCTGCTTCCATTAGGTCGTCATCCATGTGTGGGACTTTTCTGCAGTGCGATTATTTGGGGGGTTACCAACATTCCTGTAGGCAGCCCCTCACCCTTGTCTGCAAGTAAACCTTAAAAAATTCATGGGTCCCCAAGCTAGACATGGCCATAAACGTTTTAGTCTGTCGTTGGTTACCTATCTGGGACGGGCAGACATTTGTCCACAGCTCACTCTGATGGGTGTACATGGACCTGAGGTGTGCCCTTTGAAAAGGAATGGTATTCTGAGCAAAACACTAAACAAGATCTGGGCAATCAGGAGCTGGAGAGATGGCTCAGCAGAGATTGCTGCTTTTGCCGAGAACCATAATTTGGTTCCCAGCACCCACTTGGAGGCTTACAACCATTTCTAATTCCAGTTCCACGGAATTCAATGACTTTTTATGGTCTTCATGGGCACCAGGCAAGCACAAGCCATACATGCAAGTAGAACACATTAAAAAAAAAAATTCATGTAAGGGCCGGGCAGTGGTGGTGCGTGCCTTTAATCCCAGCACTTGGGAGACAGAGACAGGTGGAGTTTGAGACCAGGTCTACAGAATGAGTTCCAGGACAGCCAGGGCTGTTACACAGAGAAACCCTGTCTCAAAAGATAAAAAAACCAACCAAACAAAAAATATACGTAAGGGGCTGGAGAGATGGCTCAGAGGTGAAAGCACTGGCTGCTCTTCCAGAGGTCTTGAGTTCAATTCCCAGAAACTACATGGTGGCTCATAACCATCTATAATGAGAACTGGTGCCCTCTTCTGGCATACATGGAGGAGGCAAAACACTGTATTCATAATAAATTTTTTAAAACACGCAAAAAATTAATCTTTAAAAAAATGGTTCAAATAATCTGGGTAGCTGGGTGGACGTGGCGCACGCCTTTAATTCTAGCACTCAGGAGGCAGAGGCAGGTGGATCTCTCTCAATTTGAGGCCAGCTTGATCTACACAGAGTTCCAGGACAGCCAGGGTTATTACACAGAGAAATTCTGTCAAAAAACAAACAAACAAACAAACAAAATCTGGGTAATCAACAAAAGTAGTAGGAACATATCTGAGCTCTAGGCCTTCGCACAGAATCTAGGCCCTGCACAGCACACTGCTCACTGTGCACTTTCTGACTTGAGGCCCAGAGACCAGGTGTGCCCTGCTTCAATTCTGAGCGTTCCCTTTTCTAACACAGAAAGGTGTAGTAACATAAGCGACTCTTAACACAACCGCTCTACAAACCACGGCTTCCCGTCCCTCCTGACTCTCCTAAGACAAGAAGAGCAAGAGCTCCATTTTATGTCTTTGGTAAAGCATGGCCCGGTTAGTGTGTCAACACGGTAAATGACCTCTTATGGCACTTATACACGCCAGGTACCACACTACCAGCTTCACCACTTGACCTCACCAAACTGCTTAGAAGCCCTATATGTTTTGGTTTCTTGAGACAAGTCTCATGTAGCCCAGGCCTGCCTAGAACTCGTTACATAGTGGAGGATGATCTTGAACCCTTAATCCTACTGCTTTATCTCGCAAATGCTAGGGTTACAGGTTTAGGGCACCATGCTCAGATAAACAGTGCTACTGTTTCTCCCAACTTAAAAGATGTCTGTCTACGGCTTCACAGCTAACTGTGACAAAGCAGGACCATGAACCATCTCACCACTAAACCTAGCCTCTGAGTGGGGCAAAAAGTGTCTCACTGTCACCCCCTTCTCCCCAAATTCTGTTCCTCTTTTTCCCCCCACCAAAACACAGTTCCTTCATGTAGTTCTTGCTGTCCTAGAACTCACTCTGTAGACCAGGCTAGCCTCAAAAATCAGAGATCCTTCTGCCTCTGCCTCCCGAGTGCTGGGATTAAAGGTGGCATCACTACTACCAGGCTTATTATTTCATGCATGAAAACAATGTATCCTGATCATATTCACCCCCTCCAACTCCCCCCAGCACAAACACTTTGAAATTCTGAATCATATGTTGGTGATCAGTTCTGAGGGCTAAACAAAAGTAATCAGCTCTATGAAGATAGCATTTCCTCTCAGAATCTGCTTTCTGAGGACTAGCTTGGGGAGGAGGAGGTAGGATGTACCCTAGGTATCAGAGTGTGAATATGAGCCCTTGGCTTCCAAGGCTGCTGTTGCTACTTCTTTTGAGGCAGGGTGGTCTCGAACTCCCAATTCTCCTGCCTTAGCCTCCTTCCTGAGAACTGGGATTCTAAATTTGTGTCACACAACTGGCTCTAAACCTGCTTTAAGTAAGTCTAGGACACACTATACTTGAGTGTAAGCACAAGGTTAAAGAGAACCACTCAGTGCGCCCAGTGATGCCACCAGCGGGAAAGTAACACAGGAGGGAGGCTAGGGAATGCAAAACAATTTTAGTAAAATTCCAGACCAGTCTCGGCAACATAGAGAGCAAGGCTATCTTATAGACAAAACCCGAATAAAACAATCAGCTGAACAAAAGTCCAAATCAAAAGCAAACAAACAAAACCCTATACTTTTGCTAAATGTCTGAAATAAGAGGTTGAATCTAGGAAAACTGACTGTTGGTGAAGTGGCCTAGAAGTGGTGCTAACATGCAATGCAGTACTTCTGCAAGTGGGTTATAACATTACATTAAAGCACTTGGTGTCTGGTTAAGCTATAGACACAGTCTGCTGGGATTTCCACGTCCACTATCATCTCTTCTTTCAGAGAACTCATCCTCCTTGTACTCCGCTACAAAAACTGCCCAGCTCTGAATACACCAATCTAAAGCCATTCCAGACCAGAGAACTCCATCCAGGTTCCCACAAAACAATGAGGTAGAAACATGTGCAGCCTGGGCACAGCCTGTCCCAACCTGCCTGATCAACAGAGGCCTCACCTGAAATACAGCTACAGGGGGACAGCAAAGCTCCAGCCCAGACACAAGCCACTCATGTTCACAGAGCAAGACACCTGACCTTGGGTAACATGTTCACTGACTCAGGAGATCAAAGCTATCCTGTGTCCTTGATAGGATTTTTACATGGTTTACTTTGGAATCCTGGTAAAGAATTTGAGATCAGGAAGGCACAGATCTGTCCAACTGATTTCCCTCTTAAGCTGTTACAAAGAACTCTTGGAGGGAAGTGCCCAAAGTCACAAGGCAGATGGCAGAACCAAGGCTAGAACTCAGAACAGCAGCTCTGAGATAGAGCTGGGGCAGGAGGCGGTCCTGTGGTTTCTAAGCACACGCATGCAGTGAAAGAAGCTCAATGGGATATGGTCTCACTCCCACGGGTCACCTTTTCCAATGATACTTTTGGGGGCCTATCGGAACTCAAGTAGAAATCAAATGTGTTGTGAATTGTCTTCAGAGATTCGGAGGTCCCTCATGCCACCACATTATTCCCAGGATCCTTACCAGCACTTGTCTGGGTGACACCGTTTACTGTTCCCTCCACATCAGTCTCATCCTCGGCATAGCTCAGGATCAGGTTCTGCTGCCTACTGGTTAGCCTCCTGTGGACCAAGAACAGTTAGAGGCCAAGCACTTCCGCCACACAGCTCTGGAAAGGACACGATGTAGCTAAGTTTCTTGCTCAGGCGGGGTGTACACCAAGCTAGTGGTGAGGGACTGAAGGCCACATCTCTCTACAACTCTGAGTTGTTTCAACTGTCATTACTGTTATGCTAGATACTTAGAGGGGTGAGGATGGTGTATCCGTGCTGTATGTGTGTCTATGGGCAGCAGGTAAGAAGGTAATCTCATGTCAGGCAGTGGTGGCACACACCTTTAATCCCAGCACTCAAGAGGCAGAGGCAGGCGGATCTCTGTGAGTTTGAGGCCAGCCTGGTCTACAGAACGAGTTCCAGGACAGCACCAAAGCTACAGAGAAATCCTGTCTCAAAGTCTTCCCCCTCTCTACCAAAAAAAGGAAGAAAAGAGAAGAAAATAATCTCACAAAAGGCACAACAACTGGAACTGCCTTCCAGGCGGAGGAGCAGAGCACAGCTCATGCTGAGTGCCACAGCGTTCTGTCCAGCACACATCAGGAGTTTAGCACCTGTGTAGTTTACATTTCCACAACACAATGAAGCCAACCTGCTAGATCCACTGTTCAGATGGGAAATATAAGCTGGACAAAACTGACTTCAAGGAAGAAAAAAACCTGCCCAAGACAAGAGCTCAAAGGGCAGCAGAACTGCTGTGTGCTGGGACTGGCAGCTAAAAGGCTAGAAGGGTACCTGCTCACTGTATCTGTGTGTGTGGAGTCTGGCCATCTTGGCCACAGTCTTAGTGGACACTTACTTTGGAACTCTGATCTTGATGTGAATGTAGTGGTCTCCATAGCCATAGCTATTAACCCGGGGGATGCCTTTCCCAGACAAGCGAATCTTCTGGTCTGTCTGAATCCCAGCAGGGATCTACTGAAAAAGGAATGCACTGATGTTACCTGCTCCCCACTATCCAAAAATAAAGCATTTCACTATATAGAGAAAGGCATCTTCAAAGAAGGATTTGCACCAGCTGTACAGAACAATCTAGCCACGTTTTGTGTAGATGCGAGGAGTGAAGCAAAAAGACTTGGGTGCAAACAGCTGAAAGCAGGTATGAGACTAAGCTTGCTCCCTTACTCTCAGGGGCTGGACATCAAGGAGCCTGGTGGAGAGCCCACAGTGACCACAGGCATGGCCAGAGGCATGCCCAAAGTCTCCGTACCCAGAGGCTGAAGAAAGCCCTGATATATAAATATATATAAGTATAATGGTATTAGGGTGGGCACAGGAAGCTGGCTGCTACAGCTGCAATTAAAACTAGAGGTGGTCTGGAAGCAGGAGATACAGCACAGTGGGTAAGAGCACCGGCTGCTCTTCCAGAGGACCCAGGTTCAATTCCCAGCACCCACATGGCAGTTCACAACTATCTGCAACTCCAGTCCCAGGGGATCTGGCATCTTCACACAGACATACATGCAGGCAAAACATCAATGCACATAAAAAAATAAGCAAATCTTTAAAAAACAAAACAACAACCAAAAAAGCCCCTAAAACCTAGAGGTGCTCAAGAGAGTAAGACAGAGCTCCCAAAACACCAGCTCCCCAGACAGACCACAGGTGAGGATGTGAACAAAGAGCACCTGCTGCAGTGTAGTAACATGCCCTCAATTCCCAGGACCCTGGCCAGTGGAAGAGGAGACAGAGACCAAGAACTGCTGCCAACAGTAAACAGAAAGGCCCAGCGTGGTAATTACCCCTCAAGGAACAGCCCGGAGCTGTTAGTGTCACAAGCTCCAATGCCTCTTCTACCCTTCGAATCTGTAACAGGCTGGACACTCAGGTTTGGGACCTCAGCTTTTTTCCATTTTAGAAAAAATTAACTGGGCACGGTGGCACACACATGTAATCACAGTACATGGAAGGGAAGGCATTTGGATTCAAGATCAGCTTAGGGTACATACACAAAAGGCATCAGTCTCAAAAAGGAAAGAAAGAAAAGAGAGGAAGGAAGGAAGGAAGGAAGACTGACAAGGTGCCAGGGTACAAAGACCTCTTACCGTCACATTGATTGTCTCATATAAGCCTTGCGCTTTGGCTGTACCCCCAAGAATAGCTTGAGCTACTGAAATAAAGAGGTCGGAGTGGATGTCTGCACCGTCCCTCCGGAACACAGGGCTTTTCTGCACCTAATGCCAAAGAGAAGACAAGTGTGAGCACTGTGGAAGTGCTGCCTGAGGCTGGACATCAGCCACGTGTCCTGCCGACTTGAGCTTGGGGCCCCTTTGTACTTAAATAAGATAGCACAGGAAGACCTACACCTCGGCAGTGGGAGAAGCACCCCAGGGCTCTGGAGGGACACATCCTCCATGCATACTACACAGCAGGGCGCTGTCACTCGGCCTCCATCACAACCTTTCAATTATAAAAGTAAATAAGAATGCAATTTGGCGTTCTAATTTTCCCCTGAACCTTACCTAATTAGAAAGATGATTAAACACAGACCAATACATCTACAAAGATAAAAATGATTTACAGGGGCTAGGGAAGTGCCTGCCACACAAGTATGAGAATCCTTAACACTCAGGTAAAAGCTGAGCATTGGCCGAGTGGTGGTGGAACACGCCTTTAATCACAGCACTTGGGAGACAGGCAGGTGAATCTCTGTGAGTTCAAGGCCAGCCTGGTCTACAGAGTGAATTCCAGGACAGAGTTCCAGGACTGTTTCACAGAGAAACCCTGTCTTGAAAAAACAAACAAAAAAACTCAACCAACCAAACAAGCAGACAAAGCTAGACCATGGTAGTAGACATTTGTAAGCCCAGTCACTGCTCTGTGTGTGTGTATGTGCGTGTGCACGCAGGTAGATCTCTGAGCTCACTAGCAAGAAGTCCTGGATGAATCAATGAGCTCCATCTTCAGCAAGAAACTGTCTCAAAAAGTAAGGGGGAGAGGAATCTTAATTACCTATTTATTTTTGCAGTGCTGGAGATAGAATACACAGCCTTGCACACACAGGCACACAACCACTAAACTACAGCCTAGCACCTACCTTCATTTTTGACTTCTCAGTCTGGAGGATTCACTCTTCATGCTATTTATATATATTAGTTTGAGAGGCAATCTCACTATACATAGATTCCAAATTCATGGACTTATGTAAACCTATGCCTCAGCCTTGCATGCAGTGAGACTCCAGGGAAGTATCACTATACCCAGCTTTGCCATTGGGTTTATTTTTATTATTTCGAGGAAATGGGATGTTTTTTGAGACAGGATCATCAAACCAGGCTGGCTGCAATTCTCTGAGGATGAGGATGACTTTGAACTTCTGATCCTCCAGTGTCTACTTCCCAAGTATGGGATTACAGGTAACTCCATTGCCAGTTTTATACAGTGTTGATGACTGAACCCCAGGCCTTGTGCACGCAAGGCCCTCTACCTACTTCCTGAGTCTTATTTCTAGTTTTTATTTTTAACCTTGTTTTTAAAGACAGGGATTTGGGGCCTGGAAAGATGGTTCTTCGAGAGGATCTCAGTTTGATTCTCAGCAACCATGTCAGGTGACCTGTAACTCCAGCTTCAGGGAATCTGACAACTCTGGCCCTTTAAACACCTGCACCCATGTGCATATCCTTTGGTACACATATACATACATGTAATTTAGAAGTAAACAAATATTTTTAATATTTATTTATTTATTTATTTAGTACACAATATTTTGTCTGTGTGTATGCCTGCAGGCTAGAAGAGGGCACCAGACTCCATTACAGATGATTGTGAGCCACCATGTGGTTGCTGGGAATTGAACTCAGGACCTTTGGAAGAGCAGGCAATGCTTTTAACCTCTGAGCCATCTCTCCAACCCTAAACAAATATTTTTTTAAAAAAGGTCAGGGTTTTATTGTACAGCCCAGGCTGCCTCCACATTCCAAATGCTAAGATTATAGGCATGTACCACTATACCTAGTACTTGATTCAAATAATGTAGTATCTCTCATAAAGAAAAAGACAAAAACAAAAAACCCAAAATAAATAAATAAATAAAAATAAAAGGGAAGGAAGAAAGAAAAAGAAAAATGGTAAACAGTACACCTACAACCAAGCTTATAGAATTAAAACATTACAAACATGCTGGACCAAGGGGTCCACACCTATAACATCAACATTCTAGAGGCTAAGACAGGACAATCATGAGTTTCAGGCCAGCCTGAGCAACGCAGGGAGATCCTGGCTCAAAAGCAGGGAAAGAAAAATTACAAATTATAACTTTCTTTATGGTTCTCAGTTAATTACTATCTTGAATTTGGCATTTATCAACCCTACAGGCACGCCTTTACCTTACTGTCTTTCTGCTTCCTAAACAGCACATAATCAATGTCACCCAGCTGACACCTCTATGTAGACAGTCCCTGGTACTTTACAGCTTGCTTTCCTCCCCTATGCTTGGTCATAAAGTACCCGTGGTTCTTTCCTTCTGAAGATTGATAATGTTCTTTTTTGTTTGTTTTTTAGTTTTTCTCTGTAGTTTTGGAGCCTGTCCTGGAACTAGCTCTATAGACCAGGATGGCCTCAAACTCACAGAGATCCACCTGCCTCTGCCTCTCGAGTGCTGGGATTAAAGGTGTGCACCACCACTGCCTGGCTGATAATGTTCTGTTATATAGCAGTTTGATGACTATTCTATTTTACAAACACCAGGTTTGTCACCAGTGTCTTGCTACTATTAACAGGGCTGTCATATACACCCTTGAACCAAGACATGCTACACTTACATGTGCTATTCTCAGACATATACCTAAAAGTCTAAATCTTTCTGTTACCAGAGAAAACCATTTTGGGGTAAAGGGTGTAAGTACTTTGCTTGCATGCAGAAAAATATGTGTTAAATTTCTGGCATTGCTAAATAAACAAGACTAGACCATAATAATTTGCTCTCTCTGGCTGGGTATGGCAGCATATGCCTTTAATCCCAGCACTTGGGAGGCGAGGCAGAGGCGGGCAGATTTCTGAGTTCAAGGCCAGCCTGGTCTACAGAGCAAGTTCCAGGACAGTCAGGATTATACAGAGAAACCCTGAACAGTGACACCTTGGCCCATAACCTGTCTGCCTTACTACAATGAGGAACCTCAGCTGTATCCCCTGACAGAACAAGGACCCAGCAGAAGCTGACAGGCAAGCACCTACCCTGAATGTGACAAAAATTTCTCGTTTTCCCACAGGCATCCTTACGGTCTGACCATCTTCAACTCCTAGGAAAATAAAAGTTCCAAATAGCAGTTGTGGTAGGGGCCTCCCACAGCGATGTTTACCCAGGAAACCCACTTGACCAGGTTTGTTGTCTTATTTTGGAGATGGGGTCTCCTCCTGCCTCAGCCTCCTGGGATTAGCAGGTGTCACCACATAACTAGCTAGTCTCCTGTTAAGGCCAGTCCTCAATGCACAAAGACAGAAGAGACAGGACAGAAAACTGGAACAGGAGTTGTAGCATCCCAAGGTGGGAGCAGAGTGGGCGCACTATAAGGATGACTGGTATAAATGAAGACTAACAGGTTCTAGTTCCTCCTCCAACCTGGGGACCCAGGCCCTCAAGTCTAGCTCCGCAATCATGCAGACAACAAGGCACAACAGAGCTGGCCTATCTCCCGGGCAGTGGCCCACCTGCAGGCACAGGGATCGTCACCCGCTTCTTTTGCTTGGCTTGTCCTGCTCCTCTGCAGACCACACAAGGATTTGTGATGATGGAGCCCCGGCCACTACATCTCCGACATGTGGAACGCATCACAAAAGGGCCTGTATTGATAGTTTCCTGAGGAAAAGAAGGAAAATGCTGAATATGTAGGTGCATTGTTTTATTAAAAAGTGTTTTATTGAGAGTTTATCTCCAGGTTAAGTCCAGGCACAGTTCTATGATCCCAACATATAGGGCAGGAGTAAAGGCAGTAGATTAGGGGATCAAGGCCAGCCTGGGTTACATGAGACTCCGCCCACCCCCAACTCACAATAAGGAGGGTGGATAAGAATAAAATACATTATATACATGTATGAAACTTTCAAAGAATAATAATCTTTTTTTGTTTGGTTGGTTTTGTTCTTTGAGGCAATGTTTCTCCAAGTGTAGCTGTGGCTGTCCTGGAATTTGCTTTGCAGACCAGGCTGGCCTTGAACTCACAGAGATCCACCTGCCTCCTGAACGTGGGGATTAAAGGCGTATATTAAAGGCTTAAGTAACAATCTTAAATTTTAAGTGAGAAAGGGTGTGAAGGGAGGGAGCAAGGATGAACTTCTTGTGTGCATGTGCTGCCATAAAACACACTGCCTAAGAAAACAGCTATAGGTGCTCACACTGCTAATTTGAACTCTTTTTTTTTTTTTGTGGAGGAAGAGGGATGGTGTAGCCCAGGCTAGACCCAAACTTGCTATGTAGTGGAAGATAAACTTGAACTTCTGACCCCACCTACCAAGTGCTGGGAGTACAGGTATATACTATCACACCCAGCTCTAAAGTCAAAAAAATTTAATTAAAGATATATTTATTTTATTATGTTTACAGTGTTCTGTCTGCATGTATCCTTACAGGCCAGAAGCCTGCACCAGATCTCATTACAGATGGTTATGAACCAATGTGTGGTTGCTGGGAATTGAGCTCAGGACCTCTGGAAGAGAGTCAATGCTCCTAACCTCTGAGCCATCTCTCCAGTCCCATTTTTTAAAGATTAATGTA